ACGTGTGAGACATTTCTTGTGAAAGAAAATATGTCTAGACATATCTTCAGTGTTCCAGATGATCTGTCTGGATTTCTGGACTGTCTTCCTACCACATCTGTTCTGGCAAATTCATTTCAGAAATTTTTAAGGACAATATAGTTGCTTTTAATTTCACTTAAGTACAGGTCAGTGGCTCAAATCGATTTGGACAATATCAAGAAATGAATAACTTAAAGATATTGTAAAGAGATTTTCTAAAGTTTGTATGTGTATTGGAGACAATGATAACATTAATTTACACCATTCTAATTTTCGATAAGGCGTTCGTGCTTCCTGTAGTACCAATGAAGTCTCATTGAAAATTGGAATGATGCAAATTAAATCTGTCAGTGTCCACAATGCACATTCGCAAACCTCTTCACAATTCCTTTAAGTTTAATGGTTCCTCACAGGAAGTGACGTGAATTACCTAATGTAGAGGAACATGAATGGATGGGAAGTAGTTAATACAATGTTGAAAAAAAAAATGCTTCGGTAAAAAACAATCAAACTGTAAGCTATAATTGGAAACATAGATATGTTGCTGACAACGCTTATTGAGACAAATATATCAGAAACAATTTTTTATCTAAAAAACCAAAATGTCTGTGGTTTCATACAAAAGCTAATTAAATACGCTACAGGTAGAAATGAACGTTTCAGTGGAATTGTCGTGTTTGTTATATTTACTGCGAACTAATTATCACAGAAGGTATTATATATAATAATCCTATTTTCGATTTTATAAATGTACAGCTTTTATCATCATTATTTTTAATTAATATTAAGCTACTTAATATATAACCTTATATCATGGTTTTACCATGGGTGCCTTACGTGAAAGTTTTGATGCTTAAAGAGATGTATTCGTTCAATGTTCATGAGTATGAACTCTGGATTTTAACGTGAAAATACTTTGATGGGTTCCCTCATTTTTATTTATGAAAATCAAAATGCTAATACTTATATGAATAGAAAGTAGATGTGTTGTAATGACTTGGAAAAATACCAGTTTGTCTCACATGTCCATAATTAATTCATAATTAACTTAATTAGAAGAGAATTACCAGCCGAATTCCAATGAGTGACCGATCAAAAAAGGTCAAAAAGTCTTTTTTAGTTTATCCAAACTGTACATACATAGACATTTATGATTGGTTAAAACTTAAAAATATAAGAAAATAATGATAAAGAATACATGATAATTCATTACAAACATCAATTAATCAAATAGTTTGCTTATATTGACAATAAAAAATAAGAAAACCCATTTTTAAAGGGATTGTTAAGAGTTTTTTCTAAATACTGATAGCATCAATTTGCACCATTCCAATTTTCAATCAGACGTCCGCGGTTCCTGCAATTCCACTAAAACTAAGAGTCTAAATCCTATGTTCGTTTTTTACCAATAAACAGATCTTATTATCGTCTTTCTGTGAACAGATATTACGATATAAGTACTTATATAAGCATGGAATAACCAATACATCTAATTAGGAAAAATCCATAAACAAGATCATCGAGTCTTGATCGAGTGCTATTGAACTTTTAGCAACATTATTCACTAATGGTTTTTGTTGTATCGAGTTTTCTCTTCATAAACAATTTCAGCATGTCTAGATTAACTTTGAGCTTACATTGTCTGATACGTTTAGGACATATCTTTGTTATCACTTCCAATGAATATACACGTATATGCAATCATGGTTCAGTATCTGTTTTATTACACGAGTTTGGTAAAATTGAATTTCATAAACAAAATGGTGGACTTCTTCTATAAAAATTCCTAGTTACCCTATTTATTGGTCATTTAATGGTGGCAACAAGTACCCCGAATTCAGAATCTCTTTGTCTCTTGAAAAACACTGAGGAATAGGACGATCAGGATGTTCCCTATGGAAAAAGGCCATGTCATACTTAGTAACTACAATGAGATGGACAAAACCTGAAGTTGTGGCACAATAGTTGATAATATCTCGTATAAATAGAACTAGATTTTGCTCACTCTTCCAACAGATACGCACGAATGTTGAAAGGCTGCGAAAGATCATTGCCAAGAGGTTTGCAATCAGCATGTGGACAGAACTTAAGTAATTGTTAATTCTTTTTATATTATTAGATATTTTGGTAGGATGTCACCATTGAAAGTTTATCGCCAAGGGTAGAAATACTAATAAAATTGCTATCCATTCAGATTAGCATTAATAATATAAAATTAAGTATCTCTAATAGAAGATAATACTTCTTTACATCATCATACATTATATACTTCAGCATTATCTAGTTAAGCTTATTATACAGAATTATCCTTAACAAGATTTCAGTTTCAGTATGATACATTTGTGATGTGTGTGAATGTCATAAGACCGTTCTGCAGCTGACAGAATCTCGAAGGAACAATATTTTCAACTACTATGAGCAACTGATGGAATTTGGGAATACAAGATCAATAGCTGGATTTAGTCATCAAAACCGCAATGAATGTGGGATCTCAGTTGGCACCAAGGTCTTCCTGCAAGTTAAATTGAATGTTATCAGAGCTGAACGGTCAGCCATTATTCGATTGACGGCAATAGCTAGTCGAAGATTGCATCAAACCTTTCTTGGTGCAAGATGGTGCAAAAAGCTATGACGCAATATCATTCACATTATTTATTGTCTCACGATTCTAAACTAAACAAATAATTCACCCACAATGAGGGCTACACTGACAAAATAATCCTGCTTTTTAAGGATTTGTGATTGAATGTCTACTGAGCTGTATTGGGGTGCGGGCACACGAACAGTCTTGGTCGCCAATTTTTGTTACTGACTCGTGAGTAAAATCTCCCGCGCTTCCACGACAAGATTATCGCTTTGCCAACAGGATTTATAATATCAAACATGTTTGATATTTGTCGCTGATTATTTTATCGTCTGCAAGACAGAGCGTCATCATCCAATCTGATTTATTTTCCTTTAAATTGCATGATCTGCACGTGATTATCCGCATAGTGGAAAACGAATGAATGGAGATTTTTGTCTCTTTCGTGTGAGTAAATATATTCTTACATAAATCAGAGACATATAAATGCTATCGCACAGTAATTAGTGCATGTATGGCGCTGCTCGACTTTGTCCACTACATTTAAGGCAAAAAAAAAAAAACAATAATCGAGAAATCCTTTCGAGACATATAATCACTATTACATAGCTATTTAAAGGATTGGGTAACTTGAGACAGATCTTATCAACAGAGCCGTCTTCAAGCAGTCGTTCAGTCTAGAAAACATCTTTTTAACGTACATCATCTCCCAGTGGTGTTCATTAACGATACTAAATACGGCAAATTACTGTCAAATCCGCTGTAAATAGAATCATAACCAACAAAATGTCATATGTCAGATTGTCAATATATTCTTTTGTAATTCATCATCATATCAGATGTGGAAGTGGAATGTAGTCTGGTGTATTTTGAATGAAAGGGGGTGGTAATTATGATATATGTATTTCAAGATAAAAACTTTCTAATTTTGGCCTGAAAAAACCATTTTCAGTTCCGTAATCTCATTTGATGGTCCTCATTTGATATACTTTTAAGGTGTCGGATTTCTATATGAAAAGTGCTCGTGGAATTCCAACCCACAGATCTATCAGAAAATCTCATGATAATATCTCTCTGATTGATTTCTGTAAGGGAATATCAACACGATATATAAGGATAGCCTTTGCAAAAAATGCACAGAATTAAATTCGTTTTATGCTTTTTTTTTTAGAAATTCAAAATTTGAATCTCGTTTCCCCGAGATCAAAGGTTCCAAAAAAAAACACCGAAACGAAGGAGAAATTGCAACTAGAAGACAGTCAGATGTGTTTTGTACACCACTGCAGTGAGAGTAAGTTCTGACAAACTTCGTAGTTCCCATTTCATCAATTGGCCGCTCCCCCCCATTCCCCCTAAAGCCATGTAAATATTTCGGAAATCTGAGTTAACATGGGAATACTGATGAACAAAGCTATTGTATTCCTGGTATTTCAACAAAAGGTTCAGTGCTTTGATTAATTGTTGTCACGCTAATGCAAGTATGTCCCTAGTGAATAAGTAAAGCTATATCAACCACGAACAGTTGCAAAGATACTTTAATGAGATCCCGTCGAAATGATAGTATGCTATAATTAAATATTAACATTTTATACACTGCCAACAGTGTTCTTTTTATTGTTCTTTTTATTGTTCATTATTGTGGATAGACCATTTATATCTTGCGTCATTACTGCGAATATAATCAAGGGATTGTAAAGAGGTTTTCTTAACGTTGTATCTGTGCATGGAACACTGATGGAATCGATTCTTGCAATTACATTAAAACCAACGATGTCACTTTTGCAAGGGGTCTGCCTGTTAGTGATGTCATAAATGTTTGAGCTTAGTGGAATTGCAAGATCCACAGACGTCTGATCCAAAATTCGAATGGTGCAGATTGATGTTATCAGTATCCCCGATACTCTTAAACAGTTTAAAAAGCCTCTTTAAAATCCCTTTAAGTATTGAATATATTCAAGAAATAACAATCTTGAATCCTCGTTGAAGTTAATGCTAATGAAAAGATGTTCGCAGCTTGTTATCTATCAATAATTATATTTGACATTTGTCACTTGGGTAAAAGCAAATGAATATGTAACATGAAATATTCAATCAAACCTCGTACAACATTTACTAAGCTTTTGGGTATATCTGTATCGTATAATTCTGATTCAAAATTCAAAACGCCAGGATGCAAAAATGAAAGACAACCAGTTTCCTATCAAATTCTAATGAAGCATAAACGTGACCCACTTTGTCAGCCGGGAAATTTGTTTTCGGGTTACTAGTACATTGCAAAGGATAAAAAAATAATATATCTATGCATACTTTGTGATATTATCAATGGTTTCACGTCTTAAAAATGGACACATGGAAACTGGAAGTAGGGATTATGGTGGTAAAATATGAGTCTTACCTTACAAGCATTGCCGTCAAGGTTCACTATTTCTCCTGTTTCTGCTACTTGTCCTATTATTCCTTTACCCCACGCCATTCTCATACTTCCATCACCAGTAAGTGATGGCAACATATCACTTCCGGCGTGAACATCAAATATTTTAGAAACCAAAGAGGGTTTAGGAGTGTTTCTACCTTCCACCAAGAAAACTGATGCCTTATCAGCATCCACTAGAACACACATATTAGCTACAATTTTAGTACTTAAACTTCTTAAATCCAAATCATTGGAAATATCCTTCACTATTTCCAGGAAAAATTCCTTTTCGTTTGTATATCGCAGTTCCTTTTTACTGTCAATGTCCTTACTAGGGTATCGGGGTAGTCTTATCCTTGATTGTATTAACATGCTTAACATATTCACCGAGTTGGGCGGTAAAGATCGAAATTGTCTCATTTCCTTTAAGCTACTCCTCCTGGCATCAACACCTAGCTCTGGACTGGAAGAAGGTTCATATGTCCTAAACATATTCCTCATTTTGGAGCGGGCAAAATCCTGTCTTAAATGTTTCTTTGAATTTGATCGGTGGTGTTTGGAATCAAAAAATCCCCCATCGGAAATAATTGGTGAGGAAGGTGTGCTTCCCTCATTTGAATTGTATCCTAAACGTCCTGAAATATATTCCTGTAAGGTATGAAATCCATGGTTCACCAGCCAACGGTTGATCAACGCTAAATCGGCTTTCTTCAACACATACTCTTGGAATGCGTCTGGATTTTGGTCAAACCATTCTTCGGCCATACTTCCTGTTATTGAGCTCATTTTGTTTCCTTTTATTTAAACGATTCCACCGATGTCTGTATCCCGAAACTGTTTGATATTCACTAAGAACATATCAACCGCAGGTAATAAAAACTGTCTGAGATTATACTGTTATAATTGAAAAACTGTGAATTTACTTGGTCTCGAGAAAGTCTTTTTACGTGATAATTCGAACTGCATTATCAATTTTTAATAACTTTTTCTTCTACGACAGAGACACACGTTCACGATCCCCAAGACACTATCAATATACACAACCAGCCTTGGTAGGTTTTTTTCATCCATCAACCACGATATACTACTGCATCAATCGATCATTACTGTCATTCTATAGCTTGTCTTGACACATTCTGAAATAAATCGTAGATTAATACGTTAGCAATATTTAATTCATTTAAATGTGGCGAGATCGATCGAAAAAACCACTCATTTATTTCAAGAAATGACGATTGGCTATACGGGGTCAATTGAAGGATGGGACAAATTCTTTACAAGTGCAGTGTGGAAGGAAAATAAGGAAATATATATGACTGAAGGGATGCAAAATAGTGAAAAATATAGAGAGGAAGGAGAATTTTAAGACTAATTTTGTTGAAACTGAGAAAATTATGCTATTAGAAACTATCAGATCGGACTATAGAGCTGTCTGGCTAGGCGCAGATAATTTTAGGGTAAAAGTCTGGCCACGTATTCTCGAAACGATCTTAGCGCTAGGATGTCCAGGTTCTAATCTTGTAACATTGATTCTAGGACATCCTGGCGCTAAGATCGTTTCGAGACTACGTGGCCTGAACGATAATTTTGAGCTATATGAATTGTTTCCTTAATTACCATGCATATTGAAATATATGCCCGAATAGGTGAAGAGATAGTTATATAAGACTGAATTCCTTTTGGAGAGTCGGAGTCAAACCTCATATTTAGAAAGCAGATAATTTTTTTATATAGCTTCCAGAAGTGTTAAAAGACTCTTTGTGCACACTATCAAATAGCTAAAGATTAGAAACACTATGTCATACGAAGGATTATAGTAAATGTTATACGTAATTGAATATATCCTTGGTAGGTTTGACTGGATTACTGTTCGCCTATTTGTTTAATATCATTTGTCAGCCTCTTATGACGTAAATCGACAAAAACTCTTCAAGTCACCACAATCTCCTTTATCTATAGACGGCATACGATCACTTCATTCATTGTTTGTACATAATCCAGTTCGCTTGTAGAAATCTGGTTAAGCCAGGTAAAAGTATATCTATGTATACAAATAAACAGTAATTGCAATGATGTAAACGGTAAAAGAGAGAATTCAGATCAAGCACATTTGTGCCCATCGTATCCGGGATACGTGTTTTGATATTGTCTTATTAACCCCGAGGGAGTATGGCAAATGGGGTGTGGTTTGGACACGATGATGTGTGCCAGAATAATAATATTAAAATAAACGTCTAGTTTGGTAGCTGGAATAATAAACTTAAACTTCAGTTGGCAATAAGTGTTATCTGTAGTAGTTGCTAAGTCTTCAGATCATAATGCAATCGTACGAAAACCGTATTGGTTTGCCTATGTATGCCCTAAGCCAATAAAATATGAAGTGTCTCTTTAACTGAAGAAAGCACGTTTCTCACATTTTTCGCCATAAGGTTTTTTTTTCAAAAAAAATATTATTTTTTTATTGATTAGTGTGTCAGGTTACTTTTCCAACAAAATAAGATACATTTCATTAGTTTTTTTTGCTAACAGTCCTTAAAGGGATGTTTGATTTAAGTCTTAAATATATGTAAATTGTCTTAAGAAGTACTAGAAATGTTAGAAAATCCTATAATTCCTGAAAAATACTTGAAACTACGAATTTGACTCACTATTTCTATATATGTTTTTCTATATATCAAAGATTATCTTAAATTGATGAGTCGTCATTTTAACATTCAAACGCGGATAATTCTGGACACACATGGATTTGAAGGCTCAAATTTCGACGGTGAACACTAATTCTGATTGACTTAGCTAAAACATTCCCGTTTCTGAGTCTAGAGTATGATTGGTCAAATAAAATGGCGCACCTGTCTCTTTAAACAAGGTTTAAACCAACAAAAGTAGCCTCGATGACCTTCGGATCGGTGTGAAACCTCTCTACACAAACACCATCTGGAGTTTACCATCAATATGATCGATGGTGGTCATTAATAGATGGATAGTAACGTGTCGCCTATAGTCTATTACTAAATGTATTTGGCAAATCAATTTGTAGACAATTTAATTATGGAGCGAGTGCAGCCACCAAGTAACTGTTACTTAGTCATTATAGAATGGAGACAAGTCTTAATACAAATTATATCCATGTATCTAATAAAAAGGAAGTCGTCACTGCAAGCCGGAATTTATACAGAAGAGTTTCTTTCTGATACTAGTACCTCTGGGGGGGATGGGGGTGCTGGCTAGTGTAGTCTAAGCCTTTCGTCGACTGACAGAATATGACAGCTGCTGGTAGCTGTTTCTCTACGACAAACTGAGCGCAGCAATCATTAAGGACATCACAGTTTTCGCCTGTTGCCGTCTGTTGATTGTGTTTTATGGTGCGTAAACTGAGACTGCATTTGAAGTTTGAAAGTTCATTTTTCCTAGCACAAATGTGATTTAACACAGTAGGTCTATAATGTATAATATTTATATGCATTATATCATATTTAGTAGATCTGCTTGCTACACATTTGAAATTTTGTTTAGAATCAACATTGTTGAACTTTTGCAGGCGTTAGTGATACATACCTGCAATCTTATCTTCTGAACTGAAGATCTTAGTAAATATCTAAGTGGAGATAACTCTTAAAAACTGCTAATTAGTTTAAAATGCAACATGGATGTGAGACCACTTGATGTCCTTATCTGCATTTTATATTTACTATTGGAACGTAAATAAAATAAATTAAAACCTGATTTTTGCAATTAAAACCTGAAAGTCAGGATAAACCACGAAACCAAAGCATAATGAAGAACTGGGGTTATATAGGTTCATCTTTTATATAAGCTTATTCACGAAACTTGAAATAGAAAATGGACATCTTCTAGTGTACGGCAGTATCATTCTGTATCCTGCCAAAGACGGTCCGACAATTTTAAAGCTTACCTTGATCTGTACACACCTATATGTATTCCAAAAAGCATATCAGCAAATGTTAACAAAATACAGTCGCAATTCATACTAAACCTTATTTCAATATCGATATGGTTTTATTCATGTGATTATAATGTTAATAAAAGGATTATATCAATAACGGTCAGAAATATTGCCTTTAACAAAGTGTTCGCATAAAACCTAATAATGCCTTCACAAATGTATTGTATGGATGATAAATCATGCATGATATTTGTATTCACTTTTTGATTTTTATGATGATATAAAAGTCAGTCATGAGAAAATTGTTGTAGAGAATTGAGAAATATTTCATTAAATATGTATAGTCGTCTAAATACTAGTTGACAGATCTATTCTTTAATTATTGGTATCACTTTACTGATTACAAATTCGAGGCCCTGTTCTTCTACAATCAAATAGAACATGCAGATGTGTGTTTTCTTAACATATTGTTCGTTAGCACAAACTAAGCTTTATGAGATAGTAAAGCAATTATTTAGACGACAGCACCCCTTTAATGCGTATTTAAAATCACCATAAAAACTGGGGTTACGGTCATATTACGTACGTCATGACCAATTTCACGTACAATCATTTTTGGACTCAATGACGCCAAGGAAATGTGTTTGAGGCCAGGTTAAGCAATGATCAAAGCATCAATCACCATTACTTTCATGATAATAACACGCAGAATAAATTTGTTTCAT